CTGCGGCCGTCAGGGGCAGAGGGTGGTGGGTGGTGATGGGCTGTGCTGGTCACCCGGGGCTGTCTGGGGTGGAAGGCTCAGAGCAGCGAACGCCGCTGCCTTGGTGTGTTCCTCGACGCCCCCCAGAACAAGGCACAGCACCAACCCAGCAGTGTCCCCTGCTCTGTCCCCGTGTCCCCCCTGGCAGGGCCCACAGGCCCTTCCCTGGGCTCGGCCCTGGTTCCCTGCAGGTTCACTTGGTGCGGCCGATCCCCTGGGGCTGGGCAGGTTCCCACTTTTAGGTGCAGGTTCCTGCCTTCCAAGGTCGTGTAATTGCTTGCCATAAATTGAAACTTGTGTGGCTCCTTTTGGTAAATGCAAAATTGAATTTGTTCTTTTACTACACAGCTTGTTTAGCTTCCAGATGGCAAACCAACATGAAGTAATGGAAGTGCAACATAGTTTTGTTATAATGGATATGTAAACGTGATATTTATTCACTGCAATAGACTGCTGTGAACCATATTCCAGCAGTAACCTTTTAAATCCATCACTTGGCTGCACATAAGTGAGATCTAAAATGGACTTGTAAGGAATTTGTTTTTTTCCAGAGGATTTTTTTTTTTTTTTAATCGTTGGAAAGAAAGGGGGATGTTTTCCATCTTTTGCCTTACTGTGTGGACTGGGAAATGTCAGGAAAAAAATTAAAATCTGCTGAGATTTGTGTATTGAGGGTTTGAGTGTGTTGAGGTTTTCCACCACATTGCCTCTCTGTGTGCTCTCTGAGCAGCCTGAAGATCCCTCTTAAATGAAAACTTGCTATGAATTTCCCCAAACTCAGAAGATTCAGCCATATTTAGGAGCTACATCATGTACTTGTGTCACCAGCAGCTTCCTAGGGACTCTGCAGCTGAGCCCTGCCTGTGTGTCCCTGCAGAAGTTTCCGCTCTCTGGAGGCTCCAGAGGAGCCCACAGAGCTGGGCAGGGAGAGGGTGACGATGGCTGGGATGGGCTGCCAGGAGTCTCCCTTGAAAATGTATTTTATAAAGTTTTGTTCTGGGCACTGTGAACTTTTCAGAGGAAAGCTTGGACATTTTTCCTGAACGAAGCCAGGCTCCCAGCTGGTCACCTCAGGAGGATGCAGTCCCCTGATTTTGGTTTTGGCTAGCAAAACCCCTGACAGCTGAGAGCAGGTATAAGAGCCCTTTTTTGTTCACCTGTTTGTGTTAGAGGACCTTTTCTCTGTCTCCTGAACCAGCAGCAGAGTCTTTGAGCAACTGTAAATGTTTTTCCAACTGTCCCTTAACTTCGTGTTAGTTTTGGCTACAAGTCAAAAATGAAAACACATTAAAATGCCTAAATAGAACTCATTAAGGTGTCTATTTGTAGCACTTCAGCACGTTTGTTTCTGTTAGGACACTAGGCCACACAAAAATATATAAATAAACACATTGGATTGCTACACAATATACATGGAGAGGGAGGAGGATTCTGAGCGTGGGCAGGTGCCAGTTCAGGGAACACTGGGGCTGCAGAGGGACCTGGCCTGGCTGTCCCTGTGCACTGCCATGGTGGGAATCTCCAGTGAGTTAATGAAGATTGTTTAATCACTTGCCAAAATGCAGTTGTTCCGGCTGGACTCTCACTGGACATGTGAAACATTCAATATAAGGGGAAAAAAAAAGAAAAAAGCTGTAAAGGATTTTGTGCTGTTTCCACAACACTTCTAACAGCTGACATTAATTTAGTACACCTTGTGCTCGTCCTACTGCCTCACAGGGCAGAATCCTGCTCCAGAACAGTTTTGTAAGGCTGAAAGACCAAATTCCACCCCTGTCCTCCCAAATGAGACTGGGACAGCTTCACCAGAAAGTACTGGTGAGCTGTGCTAACACCATTTGTGCACCATGTCAGTGGCTCCAGGACCGAGCAGGTCAAGGCAGCTGGGAGGGCTCCTGGTCCAGCCCCTGCGCTCTGGGGGCTCCTCTCTTTGCTTCCTCCTGCCCAGACTGTAACAGCCCCACCTTACCTGTGCTGGCCCCTCTGGCTCTGCAGAGCCCTGGGCTAGGGGAGGCTGGGTCAGGAGAGCTGCACAGCTCAGACCCTGCAGATTTGCAGCACATTGGCAATGTTGCACGTGCCTGTCCCCATGTCCCCCAGTCACAGTTGTGTATGGGTGCTGGTGCCATCCCCATGGGTCTTTCCCTCTTGCCCTCCTGCTCTCAGCTGCTCTCAGTGTATTTTTGGCTCAGGGGAGGAACTTGTGGCTGATTTGTGGCTAGAGCAGTTGACATTTCCATGTGTCACTAAATCATAATTGCTTGGTCAGAAGTGATTGAACATTAAAAGTAAAATGCCCAGGGGGGTTGCAGTGGCACCTTGCTGCATGTGGCTGGTGTTCACCTCTGCAAAGCCCTGGGAGGATTTGGACCTGGTTGACACGTGGAAAAGCCTGGTGATGGTGAAGCTCTGTTTTGTTCAGTTGCTTATTGGTGGACAAGGCCCTTTTGTGTTTTATTTGCTCTTCCCTGTAAAATCTGTGTATGAACATCACTGCCATGCACTGAAATGGGGGGGTGTAACTGTCTGCTGGGCTGTGATGTGCAGAGCTCCCTGGGGACACAGGGGACATGGTGAGGTCAGTAATTGAGCAGAGGCTGAAGAACTGCAGGTGCCTCCTTCCTGTGGTGACTGGTCAGAGGAGAAGCAGCTGGGGCAGGGGCTGCAGAGGGTGCTCTGGGCAGCTCTGGAGCCCGTTGCTTTCTGGGCTGCTTTGTCCTTCTCTGCTGCTGGGGACACTGCCTGCTCTGGGTAGGGCAAAGCTCCTTCAGGAAAAGGCTACAAGGCAACGTGTTTGATTAACTTAGTTTGCAGTGCTCATGAGAACTGGTAAGGCCTTTACTTTTCAAGCTGTTCTAACCTGCTCTCTGTTTGCAGACACATCTCCCTGCTCTGTCTTGCTGTGGAGCAGAAACCAGAGAGGTCTGCTCACCCCTGGGCTCTGTGACCACAGCCCAACGGCCGGAGCTGACGCGGAAAACCAGCCCTGGGGTGTCCCTGCTGACACCAAGATTCTGTTCTTGCTCCATTTCCTGCCACTGCCACAATCTCTGCAAGGAGAAAAGCTGTTGTGGGCCCCATGCTCTGAATCAAGCTTCAGTAGGGCAAGATGTTAAAAGGAAAAAAATGTTAATTTTTTATTATCACTCATACACACAATTTAAACTTTAGTCTTGGTCTGTGGTTCCTCCAGACCAGGTGCCTCCAGAGGTGTCTCCCTCCCCAGCCCCTGGTACAAAGGACTAAGGGATTACAGCTGGAGCAGGGAGTGAGAGAAATCAGAACACCTGCTCTCATCAGCATCACCCCTAGCAAAGCCTTCTCCTCACATCTGATAGTTAGCCAGCTTCCTCACAAAGGATCTGTAGCCAACATCAATTAGGGTGGAATGTTTGCTAATTGCTTGTTCTTTAAAATAAATACAAGAATACCTGGAGAAGCAGTAGAAAAGTTAGGGTCCTACTTGTAGCAGCTTGGGCACAGCAGTACTGCAGTGTAGCCATCCCAGGGGCTTTTCTATCAGGTAGTAATTTTGTCACTGCATTTTATCCTTTCTTTAAAAAAAAAATATTCCTGAAAATGTATACCAGTAAGTTGTCTTTAATTCAAAGCTCTTGGTAGCAGAGTTGAATTTATTTTTTTTTTGGCATTTTATGTTATTCTCCTTATGCAAAAAAAATATTATTTATGTGGCTCCTTTGAGGTAGAAAAGATCATGACACGTTCCACGAGTTTCCAGCAACTGAAAGAAGTAACATATGAGGGTGCTAGACTGTTTCCTAATGTGACTGCTGAAATGGTTGTATGAGCCTGAGAGCTTCCAGTGGCTGAGGGTTCAGTATGTATCATCCAAATAAACCAGCATTATCTGGATTTATATTTTTTTTTTAGTTTCCATTGGCATTTATGTTCTTTTCTGAAAGAGTGAAGTTGTGTGTTGTTTTTTTTAGAAGAAACCAGTAAAATTGGGTGGAATGTATTTGGTGATAGAAAATGATGAAAATCTGGTATGTGAGAGTTCACATGTACCACCCAGTGAAGTTACTCACAGTTTTTCTGACCTGCCTTCATGTGTTTTCAGCCAAGTTATGTTTATGAATGCAGCATCTGTCAGTAGTTTTTTTGTTGTAACTTTCCCCTCTCTGCGTGTGTTTGCATCAGGAGTCAGAGCATGCAGGAGTCAGGCTGTTCCAATTTTAAGACTGCATCATAAACTTTTAGCACAGTAGAAATATAAATAGGATTCAGTCAATTAGAGTGTCTTCTTATCATGAAAGCATTTAAATTGTAACCAGGAAATACTAGCTCTCTGCACATAAGACATTTTGAATTGCTAGAAAACATTTTAAAACACTTTCAGATATAGGGTTGTAGGAACAAGTATCTCATGGGGACAGACTCCAGCATTTCCAATAGTCAAGGCTGACAAAATGAAATATGGGCTATAATTCTGTAATTTTTGCTAAATGAGGAAAATAACTGGGTGTTTGTTCCACAGTCTTCAAATTAAAATAAAGCCTTATCTGTAGAGCCTTTGCTCTGTTATGGAGTGTTTGTGTTGGGCAATTAGCCAAGGCAGCCATTTATTTTCACTTTCCATTAATTGGTAGATAATGTTGGCACGTGGTTGTGTGCTGGGGAGGTTCAGGCCACCCTCTGCCCTCCCAGCTCCTGGGGTCACTCCTGTCCCTGGAGCTGCTGCAACACTGAGGGCACCCAGGTGAATGCCCTGTTTCTTCTCCAGTCAGTAAGGAATCTTTCCATGAGTCTCCTTTTGGGAATGCTGCTTCTCACATGGGCCACAGAGAGGAGGAAAAAAACGACGGGAGCGAGTGTGTGTGCCTGGGAGGGGAGGCTGTGGTTTTTATTCTGTGCAAGTGAGTCCATAGAGTTCTCTATTAAATCATGTTTCAATAGAGACATCAGAAATATTTCCCTTGTAGTTATGTAACCCTTTCTTATGGAAGACTTTCTCCTTTCTTGAATTTGTATGGAAAATGAATTTAATTAACAGCAACTAATTGTCAAGACCATAGTGCTCCCCTGCCAGGTTTGATTCAGCCTTATTCATGCTTAGGCTGGAAATGAACAATCTTAAAAGAGGTTGCCAAAGTGAGGAAAGTGTCCCTTTCTGTGAGGAAAAGAGGGTGTTTCTCAGCTCTGAGGAGAGTGGGAAATGGAGTGGAGATTATCCAGAGGACAATGACTGTCACCAGGACATTTAGCCACCAGGGATACTGTTTCCACCATTGCTCTTGATGGGCTCCTTGCTTTGTTACCTGCTCCAGGCAGGATTCACAGTGTGAACTTTACCAAGAACGAAGTTCTGGCTCTTGGAATCCTTTAAAGGAACAATGTGTCAAACCCAGGTTTTGGAGCGGGAGCCGTGGTTGATATGAGTGAAATTCTGATAGTTCAACATATGCAGGGTCCTGTATTGCTGATGCTGCTTCTGGGGGTCTTGGCTCTGCTGTCCCTCCCCTTCATGGAGAGGCACCTGAAGTGGTGATTTCAAGGCACATAACCCCTCCAGGCAGCAGAGACAAGACTGATTTGCAGGTATGAGGGTGTGCATTTTACATTCTGCTTTGCAATGCACTCTGCTGACAGGGTCTGGAGGTGGTTCTGCAATTGTCCTCTGGCACTGGTTCTTCTGCGTGTTTTGATACTGGTACTTATGCTGCTTTGTTGTTCTCTCCCCCCATGTTTCATAGATATGCTGTGTTTTTTCAAAATGCCAATTTTGACACCTGTGCAGTCCTAGATGTGCTGGTGCTACCCTGGAGGTCAGGTATCTGCCTCCCATACTTTGGAGCAGCTGTGGATTTCTCATCGCTATAAGCACAGTAACAACAAATTTGATTTTAAAACTTTATTTCCTCAGGTTGGAGATGTTTCTTCCCAGAACCCCATCTACCACGTGGCTTTGTCTCTCTCTGAAATTATATAGCTTTGTCTTTCAGAATTGCATATCTAAGACTTAAACAAGAAATTCAAGGTATTTTTTTGAACTTGAACCTTGCAGTGTTTCTCCAATGCCAGATAAAATCTAACTTAACAAATTCCATCATTTTACAAGCTTGTTTTTGGCATCCTCCGGGCCAGTACCAAACGCTGTTGCTTCTTTTGCAGAGGGCTCTGCCTCCCTCCTTTCTTACAGCCACAGAAATGCAGTCTCTGGTAAATTAAGGGTTTGTGATTATAAGGACTTCTGAAAGTTCCAGTAGTCACCAGCTAAAATCTATCATGAGAGGAGCTGAGCTATGCCAACAAGTGAAGTCCCTGAAAAAGCCTGTGAGCAAAATGGCTTTAATTAAAACTTGAAAGCAATAACTTCATAAAGAAGTAAACGAAGAGGCGGGTTCTTTGTAAATGATGATCTTAAAAGTGTTCTGGGTTGTGAGACCTTATTTCAAATGCATTCATTAAATAATATTTGAATCATTTAACAGTTTGAACTCTACTGCACTGCTAATATCTTCAGGGGATTTTTTTTTTTCCAGTAACAAAGATGTCTTTGTTCCTGCTTTATGCTCGGGCTGTGCCTTGGATATTAGTTGGAAACCCGATAGCCCGACATGGCTAGAAGTCTGGAGTACAATGTGAGTCGTCTGCAACCGGATTAAATCAGGCCTTTTGTACTGGTGTGGAGGGGCTGGGGATCCAGGAGCAGGATGGATACAGATGGAGGGACATGTTTAACCCCTTGTGCCTGTGGAGGGGTTTGCTGTGGCTGCCAGGGGTGCAGGGGAGGGGGCACCCCAGAAAATCCTGCTGGCAAAGCAAAATGATTCCTTGTGGGGAGTGGATGAACCCCAGCCCTGTGTGAAGGCCCAAGTGGAGCTGAGACCTCTGGCTGGGGTGTTGGGGCAGCTCCCCACAGCACTGCATCCCCTCTGCTCCCTGCCTGCTGGGGGCTCAGCCCTGCTGTGCTGCTGGTGCAGGTGCTCCTGCTCTGGGGACAGCTCTGCACCCTTCCTGTGGGCAGAGGCACTTTTAAAAAAACTGGACAAGTCGGGACTATGAGCCAAGGTTTGTCAGTGGCTCAGAAGTGAGAGTCATTCTATAAAATCTAGTAGTAACTTGGTGAATAATAAGTACAGGAGTATCTTTATTTGCCTGGTGGGTTTGTGTTCTGGGCACCATATCCCCAGGTGTTCCTCTCGCCTGCAGCACCTGCAGCTCCTCTTCAGCAGAGACCAGAAGGCTGGGACCCTTGTGCAGGGAGCACCAGGACC